GCGTTATAGATGGTGTGTCTCCAGGCCTCCCGATTGGAGGCCAGGGGAGACCAATGGTTGTGGTCAATATTGCCAAGGCTGAGGGATTGTTTCAGGCAGTCCTTGTATCTCCTTTTTATGCTACTCTTCTTTAGCTCACCGTTGTATATAAACCTATATTGCAATGTTTTGTTACTACGTGTTTCCATCCGAAATAAAACCTTTTTTTTTTCGCTCCCGTGTACAGACAGTTGTCTGTCTCTGCGTGTGATGGAAGGTGGGAAGGGGCGGGGAGGGGTGAGCATCAGGCGGGGTTTGGCGAGGCGGGATGCTCGGGGAGAGCGATGGGAGCGGGGGAGGGAGGACGGGACGGCCCCGGTCCTTCCGTCGCGTCACGGGAAGGGGCGGGGGCGGCTCCGGCGCCCGGTTCGAACGGGGCGGGATGGAGAGCGGGATGGAGGCGGCTCCAGGCCCTGCGTGCGGCCGGTTCCCATTCCCCTACACGCCGTACCGCATCCAGGAGCAGTTCATGGAGGCGCTGTACGGCGTGCTGGAGGCCGGCCAGGTCGGCATCTTCGAGAGCCCCACGGGCACGGTGAGGCGGCGGGGCCGCGGCCGGGCCCGGGCACGGCTGCGGGATGTATGGGGGGGGGAGGGGGAATGTCTGTAACAGCAGCGCTCCCTCACCCTGTTGGCTTCCCACGGCAGGGAAAATCCCTGAGCCTCATCTGCGGGGCCCTCTCGTGGCTGCGGGACTTGGAGAAGAGGAAGCGGCAGGAGGAGGCGAGGCTCCTGCAGGGGCTGAGCCCGGCGGAGCTGGGACACGCGGGAAGCACCAGTACGGCCGGGGAACCGGACTGGGTGACGGCGTTCGTACAGAGGAAGGAGGAGCGGGACAAGGTGGACAGGCTAAAGGTTGGGAAACGCTCATCTGTAGGGGATGGGTAAGAAAACGAGGAAAGGATTGGGAAGGCTGATATCACAGAGTGGCTGGGGCTGGAGGGGACCGCTGCAGGTCATCTAGAACAACCTCCCGGCTCCAGAGCCCCTGGAGCAGGATTGTGTTCAGACGGCTTTTTAATAACTCCAGGGAAGGAGACTCCACAGCCTCTGGGCAAACTGTTCCTGTATCCCGGGTGATGAGTGGAAAAACATGTGAGGCAAATTTGGTGGTGGTCTGTGGTGCAAACGGTGGTGGTCTGTCTGTCACAGGACTTTGTTTCTATGAGGAGGGGTGAGGCATTGCCCTGCGGGTTGCATAAGATAGGAAACTATATCGCTTTGAACAGAGCAACATGCAGTAGGTGCTTGAGGAGAACGGGACTGTGTACTGACAATTTCGGAGTTAATTTCTCTCTATTCCCAGAGCTTAGTGATACCAAGGTTGAGGACTAAATACACTTCCCTCTCTCTTTATTGTAGGAAGAGCAGATCAGGAGGAAAAAGCGAGAAGATCATCTCCAGAAAATTCGCAGTAACGTGCAGTTAAAATATGCAGCAAAGAGGAAGGTGAGTTATTCCACAGAGATTAGAACCTTCTGTTTTGGTTGCACTGAGTGTTGTTCATGCTTATGTCTGTGCCTTCAACTGCCTTTTTGAGGAGCTCTTTGTATTTGAATGCTGAAATTTGCCATCCAAAATTTTTGGTTTGATTTTCTTTTTAAATGACGTGAAAAACAATTTGTGCGTCAATAATTTCCCCTGAGTGTGTTTGTGTTTGGGTAGAAGTGACATGTGTTTTGATGACCTCTGGCCCTCTGCTTCTCTTTAAAAGTTTTAATACTTGGATTTTTTTTTTTTTTAAAGCTCTCTGTGCTTCTAGAATAAAAACTGTGGTTAAATTTCTGGTCATGGGAACAGAATACCACTCAAAGGAAGCCAGGTCAGGCGTTGGTTGTACTTGACTCACCACTAGGGAACGATTGTTTTTGTTTACTTCCATGGTAAACATGATTATATTGTTCAGAAGTGTTTCTTTTCTGAATACAAAATGTTCTCAGGTGTATTTTCCTGTAATTCAGGTGAATAAACTGGCCTCAGTACTCTTAACTCTAAGAGGTTTTGATGGTACGATGGAACTTTCCAGAAATACACATTTCAGGTCCCCAAACAGGCAGATTTATGAGGCTGCCAGACTGTTAGTTTCTAGTGTGCTCCATCTCAAGTGTTGTGTAATGTTTTTTTGGTCAACTCCTGTCAAAGGAATGTTACAGAAATAGTAAAGAATGACAAATGAAAAACAAGTGAAACAAAGACCTTGTCTCTTTTAAGAGGATGAAGAGCCTGTGAAATGAGAAGCATGATAAAAAGCAAGAAAGTAAATGAGAGAAATACAGAGATTTGGAAAAGCAATAATCTTCTACGTAGGGCCATGGTAATAAAACCTCATTGACATTGGAAGATACTGTTTTCAGATTGAAAACCAAAGTTTTATCAGGACACAAAAATTAATCAGGAAACTCTTCTTCAACAACTTAATGGAATTTTTGTTGAAGGCTAGACTTGTGTTAAAATAGCAATCACATAAGTGGAAAAAAAAACCAAACAGCAAGAGAAATCTTGTGCTCCGTGTTCTAAAACAGATGCTGAGTTTATCCTAGGTTTCAATTAAGTGTGCACTGAGTGTTTGATTATATCCTTATATGTTTGCTTGGGTTTATTTACACACTTTTTTCCTCAGGCAGATTTGAGCCACTTTAAGCAACTAATACTTTACATGAATGTTTCTTTGAGGGTCTGTTACTTCAGCAGGCCTTTGGCACAGAAGGTTCTTTATGTTTCCCTTTTGTGACTGTCTTTGTGGGCAAGTCTTTGGTTGTTGGTAACAGCTACATTCTGTGGGGCTGAACAGCTTCAGGCCCCTTTGGTGCACGTGCTTGTCCTGCTGTGGGTTTACCCAGCAAGTCATTCCCTGTGCTGTGTGTGAGGGGCTCTGCTGTCTTCTGACCTGTCTGTGCCACGAAGTGGTGCTGGTGCTGCCTCTCTTTTTACATGAGAAATACTGCACTGCTGTGTTCCTCTCAGAGATCCGAGGAGGATGAGACAAAGCACCTTCTTCAGCTGAGCAAGGAGGCTCTGTCACAGGGAGCAGGAGCGGATGTTCTGGACCAGCTGGATCACAATGAGGAGGAGCTGATTCTTGCTGAATATGAGAGTGATGAAGAAAAGAAGGTGGTGTCTGGGTAAGGACAGGGACTGAGGGGGTTCCATGCGAAAGAAGCATTTTCTGTATAGTTTTTGGCTTGCTCCGATTAAAGAGATGTCACCTGTAATGGTGCAGATTTTATTCAAAAGAGTTTCTCACCTTTTCAGACTGTGTAAGGTAGTGGTTGTTCTGGGGTTTTGTTTAATTGTTTGTTTGTTTTTTTAAGCTTTTCTTAGATTGATCAGAGTGACCTGAAATGCTTTATGAGAAAGTACATCTTAAAATGTGGGGCAGTGTCCTGCCTTTACCCACACCTAGTTTCCCAAAAAGTGCCTCTGGATACTGAGTGAATGACTTGAGATTAAGTTCCTTGCATTGGAAAAGCAGAGTGGAACCCACAACATCAGAGGAAGCTGTCAGTCCTGCAGATTAGCACTGGCATCTTTTGATACTCTAAAGGGAGAGACATTCACGTTTCTAAAGATGGAGCTTCGGCATGAAAATCTCATGCACACTTTTCTCTCTCGTACCTTTGGTTTATGCAGAAAGCCAGTAGTCATACTTCAGCACAAAAAGTCAAATATGTTTAAAATACAAATTTACTAATTAGTATCTAGACAGAATCCTTCTGCCTTAAAAATTGAAAAACACTTAACTACTTCATTTACATGGAGTTTATCAAACATTAAACTGCTGTTGCCTTTGAGGAACTCTGTGGCAGCTGAGGGCTTTCCTGAAGCTTTTCTTTATGCAATAGCTGGAGGGTGGTAAATTGCCTCTAAAGGGAAAGCTTTACACAAATAAATAAATAAGCTCACCAAAGAATAGTATAGCAGTGATTAGCTTATGCCTGGGGCTTAGAAACCCCAGAATCAAAACAAAAAAAAAATTCTTGAATTTGCAAGAGGCAGAGCCCTAAAGACATTTTCCTTTTAAAGAGCAAAGCTTGACTTGATTGTGCACACTTAAGCTATTCTTAAAAAGTTGATTTTTCTTTTACCACCTGGATTAAGATCTGAGGGTTTTTTTTGAGATGACTTAACCATCTGTATCTTTTGAGACCTCTCTCGTAGTAGAGCATAATTTGATTCTTACTGCCACTGATCTGCTGAAAAGCAACTGTTTGAGCTTTCTCTTTTCTTAGGCTGGAAGAAGATGATGATGATGATTTGGAAGAGGAGCACGTGACTAAGGTGAGATGAGGAAAGTAAATAGTGTCACCTCATAAAATAGTGTAGGATTGAGCAGAATGATGGCAAGTTTATTGATAGTGACAACTAGTTCTGCTGTGCTCATCTCCTTCTGGACTACACTGGCTGCCTAAGCAGCTTTGTCTGCTAGCACTGCTTAATTTTTGCTGTGGCTTGCTGTAAAAGCACACTGCAATAAATAGCTTTTTATTACTCTTCAGTGGTGAGTCCCTGTTTTTATAGAAATGTTGGAAAATTAAGTGGAAACAAAGACAAATGTATAGGAGAAAACAAAGATGGGGCTTTTAGCCTCAACAGTTGTGACACTCAAACTTGTATTTTTGAAGGCTTGAGTGAGGTGAACCTTGTTGAAGTGCTTGGCTGCATCCTTGCAGGGTTGGTTGTAGGTAGGGGATTGGCTTCCCTGTTCTTCTTGTCTTCCCTGTGTTCTCCCTTGTTGCAGATTTACTACTGCAGCCGCACTCACTCACAGCTCTCCCAGTTTGTGCACGAGGTCCAAAAAAGTCCTTTTGGCAAAGATACACGTCTGGTCTCCTTGGGATCCAGGCAGGTATGTGGTGGTGGTCTCCAGGGACCCAGAGGGCATGTTAACCTAGTGTGAGAGACTTTGTGAGATATGTGGATCTGGCGCCACAGAAGGCACCTCAGGGATTGTCTGAGTCTCCCACTGGATAAACCAAAGCAGTAATGGGTCTCAGCACAGATCTGTGTGGTGTAGATTTTTCTGTGAACTCTCTTTTGGTCATTTACCCTTTGATGTAAATGCAAGAGTCTGTTTTACCTTTTCTGATGTGGCATATTACAGATGTCTGAGTCACTGAGAAGGTGCTCCTCTTACTAGTGCTTCTGGCAGCGTTTTTTAGAAGCTGTTGGGTAGCAGTGAGCCCTCTCAGTGCACCTTTCTTCATTTTTTTCTCCTTGCAAAGTTTTTATGTGTTTTGAGTATGTTTGTAGCAGTTAGCATGCACAGTGTGTGACTGGTAGACTTTTCCATTTTGGAATCTGACCTAAGATTGCTTTAAAGAAGCAATGAGAACATGGGGCTCTCTGTTCAGAATTGACCCCCTTCCTCTTCCTCTCTTTGCACGTCCCAGAACCTGTGTGTGAATGAGGAGGTGCGACGCTTGGGTGCTCTCCAGCTCATCAATGACCGCTGCATGGAGATGCAAAAGAACAAACATGGTAGGAAGACTTCCAGCCTGGGGAAGCCATTGCAGATAAAGCTGCTGTAAGAGTCTGGAGACAGTGGGCACTGCCAGTCAGTTCTGGCAAGAGAGCGTTAGGAGCTTGGAAATGACAGGTTGGAGGAGCAGAGCTAGAGATCCCCAGCGCTTTTACTTTTCTTGATCTCCAGGCTAGGATGCTGAGATCTGGATGTATTTGCATCCAGATCTCAGTATTCAGTGTGTTATTCAGTGTGTATTCAGTGTTTAAAGTTGGTCAGGACTATGGAAGGGTACTTGCGTTTGTTAACTCAGCACTAGAAATGTTGGTAAATGTCACATGGCTAAATCTAACTGTTAAGAATAGTGTCCACTGTGGAGATGGAAATGTTAAAGCTGAATAATTTTTAAGTAAGCCATAGGTCAAGAATGCATGACAGAGCTTACTTTGAAATCCATGAAGTTCTGCACAGTGGTTGTTTTAGGCTACTGTGTGTTGCTCATGGCTCTCTGTTGATTTCTGCTGTTAGAAAAGAAGAGTGATGAAGAGAATGAGGGGAAGAAGAGACGTGTGAGCCGTGCTGTGTGCCCATTTTATTCCTATGAGCAAATGCAGTTTCTCCGCGATGAAGTTCTAGTGGAAGTGAAAGACATTGAGCAGCTGGTGTCTTTGGGAAGGGAGACCAAAGCCTGTCCATACTATGGGAGTCGATATGCCATTCCTGCTGCTCAGGTAAGGTGTGCAGTTTTAGCAGAATTAATGCCAAGCGCTCTAAAAATAAATCAATTGCCTGCTCCCTTCAGTGCTCTTGCTCAATATTGTGGGAGTCTGTAAACAGGCTGTGTTGCTGTCAGCTGTAGTTTTGCTGAGAAAGCAAAGGAAAATAAGAATTCCCATCAGAAGTTAATAGGGAGGCTGTCAGGATGTCTCAGCATTCTGAAGGATTTGAAAGGTTCACTAAGTGTGAGGCAATGCTGACACATGGGTGTGCTCTTAGCTCTTCTTTCCTGCTTGATTCTCTCTCAGAAGACATGCTTTCAGTGCTTCACAGGAGATTTGGAAGGTAACCTGAGCCAATAGGCAATTGTAGCATAATCATTTCTCTTCAGCTTACATCCCAGTGGCCCTTTCAAGCCAAGTGTGCTCCTGTCTCTCTTCCTGCCTTTCCCATAATAAGTCACTTGGCTGAATTCTGCGAGGCCCTCTGAGACGGACCTTTAATGAGTGGTAGGAGAGTGCCTTGAGTTTGGAAGGATGAGAACTGGAATCAGGGCAGTGTGTGCTTCTCCTATAGTTGGTGGTGCTGCCCTACCAGATGCTCTTGCACGAGCCTACCAGGAGCGCTGCGGGGATCAAGCTGAAGGACCAGGTCGTGATCATTGACGAGGCCCACAACCTCATAGACACCATCACCTGTATCCACAGTGCGGAGGTCAGCGGCTCTCAGGTGAGTCATGGCCTGGCCTGTCAATGGAGAGGGAGCTCTGCATCCAGCAGACTGCCCTTTCTTCACTCCTTGGTAACAACAGCCCCTCCTTTCTGTTTGTGCAGCTGTGCTGTGCCCACTCCCAGCTGTCCCAGTACATGGAGCGATACAGGTGAGGATCTTGGGGGAAAACTGCACAGCAGTGGCAGGCAGCCTGGATGCCATGGCTTGTCTTTCTTGCAGAGTCTTTCTTGCTTTTCCCTGGTGTAAAGTTACTGCATTAATAGTTCTGCAGATGAAAAGGCAGTTGCTTCATTATTTTTGTCTAGAATCTGTCTTAAGTCAGACTCCTGGGGCTGGTATTAAGCAGTGAGAAGGGGATACCCTGAGGATTGTGGCTTTCCCTTATACTCAGTTCCTTTCCAAATATCTCCCTCTAGTCACGTCTACTTTGTGATGCAGAGTTTTAAAAGATTCAGTCTCTTATGTCTCTCCTGGACCTTAGTCTTTCATGTGCTGACTGGCATTATGGTAGAGGCAGTAAGCTCTGAGGAGGAGGAAGCTGTATGTGGGTTTTGGCTCTGCATCTTGTCATCCCCCTCTGTGGTTGGTTGCTGTGCTCAGTGCTTTGAATAACTTTGAATTTGTGGAGCATTATTGCAACAGGGACTTAAGGCATCACTGCCTCTGTAATAACAAACTGTAACTAATGTGTGAGGAGAGGGGCAGTGGTAGGAACAGTGTGGGGTATGTGGGGAAGTGCTTTGGGGTGACCTTGGGCAGGATGTCCAGAGGACTATGCCCTGCCACAAAGAGGGAGAGTGAGCCTGGGAGAGATCATTCTTGGTTCCTGTCTCTCCAAAATAAAGAAGAGTTCAGGTACTTGTGTCTGCAGCTCAGCTGCTTGTGTTAGTGCCTGAAGATGTATTGGGGCCTAATGTCTGTCTCATTTTTCATAGGAAACGTTTGAAGGCAAAGAACTTGATGTACATTAAGCAGATCCTGTATTTACTGGAGCAGTTTGTGGCCATGCTGGGAGGTAAGAAAACCAATTCTACCTCCAGGAATACTGATAGGCTCTGAGCTGGTTAGTGCTTCCTCAGGACACTGTTCCCCTCCCCACTCTGCAGAGACTGTGGGGTTCAGAAGCCAGTAATTTTATTTCTTAAGCTGGTTTGTAAGGTGAGGAAGTTGACTGGTGTCTACTTGACACCCTTCTCTTTGTTTTATTAGCTGAGGATCAGCAGATGACATTGTAAGTTGTAGAGGCAGTTTTCTTCTGTGTGGTTTTCAGATCTGATTTGAGTGGGGATGATGTAAGATGCCAAGTGAGGAATACAGCAGATGTATGACAGTGCAGCACAAGAGCTGTGTGGAATAAATCTCATGGGTCATCTGGTAGCAAGGCCTCTACACATGTCAGCATGCCTCTGCAGAATGAATCTTTCTTGAGTGGTGCCTGTCCTTTGCAAAAAAATTACCATTTTGCTGTGATTTTAGATCCACAGGAATTCACAGAGCTCTTTTTCTCTGATGATTTGCTTGCTAGACCTCAGTGTGTCTTGAGGGGAGAGCCTGTCCTAAGTTCATAAAGACCTTCCTCTATGCCCAGGAGAAATGCAGCCCTTTGGGGCAGGGGGCTGGTGGTGCTCTCTGCCTTTCTCTCAGATGTTACTTCTCTTCCTGCTCTGTCCTGCCACTCTTCCTCACACTCAGTGAAGTGCTTTCATTAGAAAATGCAGCCTCTGTGCAAGCTTCATGACTGAGGCTGCAAAAGTGGGATGTGAGGTGGATGTTAAACACTAGGACATAAAATGCAGCGAGTGGCAGCAGTTAATCCTGTTCTGGTTGTTGGGGTCTCTGGGCATGGAGGTGTCCTCAGGTTTTCCCCTCTTCTCAATCACCTGCCAGCCTCTGTGCCTCCAGCTCCCTGCTGCTGCACTCAGGAGGGATGCATTGCAGTCCCTGTCCCTTTACCTTTGCAGCATGATGACTACATAGTGTGTGAGCGCTCCTGAGCACCCTCCCTACCTGCTGCTTCCTGCCACAGAAGGAATAAGGTGGTGCTTCTTAGGATGCAGCAGCATGCTTGTCCTACAGTGTAAGGCTACACTGCAGGGCAAATTAAAACTGAGTGGGAACTGTTTTGTCTGTATAGCTACATTTTACAGAGGTGTAGTTATTTCTTGGGTTTTGTCATGGTGCAGTGTACCTATCAGCTCAGTCATTAGTTTCTTGCTTAATTTTGAGACAGACTCATTGAAAGCCTTCCTTGGTTTCATGTTTTACAGGTAACGTGAATCAGAATCCTGGCTGTCAGACAGTTTCCCAAACAGGTGAGGCTGGAGTGAACGCCTGGTGTGTGCAGCTGTCAGTCTGTGGGTGTGGGAAGTAAGGGGCTGCAGGTCTAGCAGTAATAAAGGTTTTTCTCTTTTCCCCCTTTTCTTTCAGGGACAGTGCTGAAATCCATCAATGACTTTCTATTTCAGAGCCAGATTGACAATATAAACCTCTTCAAGGTAATGCAAATGTTGTTGTCTGCTGGGGCCAGGTAGTGGTGACTTGTTTGAGGTTATTGGGGAGTGCGTGTGAGAGCTGGAAGTGGAGCCAAGGCCCACATGGCAGGGTCTCCCCACCTCCCCAGTGTACAGGTCTCTTCTGCAGTCTGGGTAAAAGTGCATTGAGGCTGGATAGGTGCTCTTGGGGTAGAGGGAAGCAAGTGATTAAGCATGTACAAGTGCAGAAGCTGTCTTTAGGCAGAGCTAAACTGTAAGGGCTGAGGATGCTGAAACCACACTACTCTAGTATTGCAATCCATCCCTCAAACCTCCAAACACAGCCCCTTAGCACTGTGTGTTTCCACTCTGGATGCAATGCCTTTGTAATAAACTGTTGTCTGGGAGGCAGAGCTCACAAAGAGCTATGCAACTCTCCCCAAAAGCAGAACAAGTGATATCCCTGCTGGTCAGGGATCAAGGACAGCAGGATGGGAGAACAGATACTGAATGCCAGTTCATTTTTCTGTTTTCCTCCAACAGGTTCAGCGTTACTGTGAGAAGAGCCTCATCAGCAGGAAGGTACTTGCCCCTGAGGTTTTATGATCAGCAGTGTTCCAATGCTGTTTCAGACATGGAATATGAAGTGGAAGATGCAACAGCTGGGGTGGGAGCCTGTCTTCTCCGCCCTGCTCTGCAAACAAAATAATTCCTGCAAAAAGCACTGTATGTGCAGATTAACTTTTGCTTTTCCAGCAAAGAAACGTACAGTGTGGTGTACCATGGTGTTCCAGTGGGTGCTAATTCTGTGCTGCTTGGCCTCAAACCTGCCAGCTGGGTAGACTTGTGCTGGAGTAACAAGCATCAGAGACTTGTTTTGGTTTTGATTCAGTAGCTGTAGGAAGGTAATGGAAGCTCTGGGCTGTGCTGATGGATTCTGATCAGGCTGGTTTGTAAACACCTACTAAGGAACTTTATCTGTGACAGACCAGCAAACCTGCTTTTATCTTGTCTGATTCCTACTGTTGGTATCTTAGTCTTTGTGCCTTTTGTTTGGCAGCTTTTTGGGTTTATGGAGCGATATGGAGGCTCTGCCACAGCTGTGAAAAACAACAAGGAGAACCAGAAGCTGGCTGGTTTGCAGAACTTTCTCCTGACCCTTCAGCAGGGATCTGATAAGGAGGGTGAGTTCAGACATCTTCCCCTTCAGGGCACAGTGAGGATGTGGAACCTGCATCAGTCTACATAAGGAAAGGTGGGAGGCAGATTTGAACAATGAGAGACTGCAGGAGGTGTCCTGCATAGGTGTTTTTTAACAAGGTTGGCTAGCTGACCTAGGCAACTATACATTTGATTGGAAGGTCTTCTGAGGTCCCTTCCAAGCTGAATGATCATATGATTCGATATTCACACTGCACACATTCAAGCTTTGCACTGCTGTGACCTATCAGCTCTGGGTCTGTGTGTAGCTCTGCTTAGTGGTGCTGACCACAAAAAACAGATCTTTTTTTTTTTTTTCTTTCATAGCAATGAAACAGAATTTGGGTTTTCCCCTTTACTGGGTCTTTGTTCTCTGCCTGCACATGTAGACCAGGTATCACGTTCCTGCAGAACATATTTCATGTTTAATCCCTGTCTTTGGAAGTGTGGCCTAAATTGCCTGCCTCTCCTTTTCTTTTCGGGCCAGCAGGTACCGCCCAGAGCCCTCCCGTGGAGGCTGAGAACAACCAGCTCCAAGCTGCCTCTCCACTGATGCAGATTGAACGGTTTCTGTCGGCCCTCACAAATGCAAACCAAGATGGCAGAGTCATTCTCAACAGACAAGGTACTGCAAAGGGCGAGCTGGGGAGAGGTGGCATGAGTCAGTAACAAGCAGGGTGCTTCACTGGCAGTGAGGGAGGAGATCTGGAGCCTGGGAGGAGCCTGCAGCAACATTTCTGTGCCATATATGATGCAGGCTGGCAGGCTTGGTCTATCTGAGGATGCTCGTGACCCCAAAGGAATTCTTAACTAAGGGCATTGGCACCAGGGTTTGCAGATCTCTGCTCCCACTTTGGATGTTTTCATCCTGCAATTTACTGCAGCTCCAGAGAGATTAGGAAGCAGAAGGTAACTTCCAGGTTGGTTCACCTGCTGCTGCCTCTGTCGGTGTTGAATAGCCAGTCCTTGCTTTGAGAAGTGAGGACCTGCCAGAGTGCCCAGGGCATGAGGGAGAATCTCTTATTTATCCATGAGTGTGCGTATCCCACAGCTAGCTCCTGATTCTCCTTCTCTCCTTTTCCAAGGCACAGTTGGTCAAAGCAGTCTCAAATTCCTCCTGCTGAATCCAGCTGTCCATTTTGCCAAGGTGGTGGAAGAATGCCGTGCTGTAATCATTGCTGGAGGCACCATGCAGCCGGTGAGGAAATCAGGATGCTGTGCTGGGATCTCAGGAGGTGCTGTGTGCAAACAGGCATGGAGAGAGAGCAGCTAAGCCCCACTGGGATGTTCTGCTCTTCTTGCTCCCCGTGGTGTGTGTGGGAAAAGATTTCTCCTACCTGCCCTTTTGTATGGGTTCCCTGCATGAGGTGTCACTGCCTGTTTATGGATGAAGTTGTAGGTGCAAAGGCAGGATTGCCCTCGTCAGCCTTTCTTATTCTCAAGACGATACAGGCTGAGCTCTTGGCAGTTTTGAACCAGCATGGGTAGAAGTTGGAGGACCTTGTGGTACCATCTGTCCTTCTGCAGGGACAAGGGACCATCCCGTAGGGATTCAGGAAAATCAGTCCCGATAAGCGCGGGCAGGGGGCGCTGCCGCTTCTTTGGCTGGCCGGGAGCACGGGCTACGGGCGGTGTGTGTTCGGCATTCCCTGTCCCCGATGTGCTCATCCCGGAGGGATCTGCCCGGCACTCCCTCGACACTGGTGCTCGAGGAGCAGCACAGGTGCCTCTGGTGTTGTGTCTTTGGGCCACTGGTACTTTACATGTGGCTTGTGGTTCGTAGGTGGCTGATTTCCGAGAGCAGCTGCTGTCCTGTGCTGGTGTGGACCCTGCACGTGTCCTGGAGTTCTCTTGTGGTGAGTGTGCCGGGCTGGCAGGGAGTGCTGCAGTCTGCCTCTGGTGCTGTTTTGTCAGGGCAGTAAAAGTGTGCAAGTTCCCTTCCACTCTGAGCTTCCTCAGTGCAGTACTGGCAGGCAGTGTGCCATGCCTTCTTCCCAGAGGCTCAGGGAATGGAAGTCAGCACAGCTGAGTGACTTAAACACTTTGGTTTAGCCAGGAAAACATTTGCCTCTGTCATGCAGGTAAAGCTCTTTAGCTTGTGGGGTTTGTGTCAACAGCAGTGATGTTGACTCTCACAACTTGTTTTTGGCTCCAGGACATGTGATTCCTCCAGAAAACATCCTACCCATAATCCTCTGCAATGGTCCTTCCAACCAGCAGCTGGAATTCACCTACCAGACAAGAGACCTGCCCCAGATGGTCAGTCTGTCCTTTGTTCCCTTCCTTTGGGCCCCCTTTTTTGCTTCGCATGCTTATGTTTCATAGGACAGTACACTCTCTGTTTAAAAGGTGTGCTCACCAAAAGCCATGGCAAGGGAAATCCGTAAGATTTGGGGCAGGTGTGTTGCCAGGTAATTGAGAACGAGCAATAGCAAAAGAGATTTTGAGCTGTTTTGTCAGAGGTAGCTTTTGAGGTGAGTTACATAGTAACTTCTGTTTGGCTGTACTGAGATCCTGCAGTTGTGTGCTGGGTATCAATCAGGAGGAGGTTTCTGACTCTGTCACAGTTTGAAGGGTTCATTGACAGTGGAGCAGGACAGCCATGCAGCCCAAACCACAGGGGCAGCAGCAGGTGTTTTGGCACTTTTTACCTTCTTCCTGTGGCAGGCCAGTAAACACCCAAGGCCAGACCCTAGATCTGCTCTGCCCCTGCTGAATCTCCACCAGACGTGCTAACTACCTCTCAGCATCTATTCTGGTGTGACAGCTCCCATCCACTGAGGCAAACCCTCCTTTCCCGAGTGACCAGTGTTCCACAGCACTAACAGAAACACCAGGGTAGGGAAAAAGGCCGAGCAGTGAAGAACTTTTTTGTGATGCTCAGCTCCCCTAGAGAGTTCTCTTAGACTTGGCATATTTCCCACATTTTTATCTCCCCTAAGGCATGTCACAGGGAAGGTGTGATGCTGGGATTGAGCACAGAACTGGAGCAGCATTAGCTGGAGCTCCTGCCAGCTGCAATATGCTCTTATCTCTCTTGCAGATGGATGAGACAGGTCGGATCCTTTGCAACCTGTGCAACGTGATCCCAGGAGGTGTGGTGTGCTTCTTCCCCTCCTATGAATATGAGAAGCAGGTGTACACACACTGGGAGAAGATGGGACTGCTCACCCGCCTGGCAACTAAGAAGAAGGTGATTGTGTAGCCGGGGCAGTTGGTGCTTTACACAGAGGTTTCAAAAATCAAACAATTACATATGCACTACAGAACTCTCTCTCTGAGTTGTTCTCATACCCTGCACAGCAGAGCAGAGAGGATGTTTATCTGGCTAATCCCTCCAGTTACAAATAAATGATACTTCCCGGGTGGCTGATCACTGAGCTGGGATCTAAATTAGACTGAGTGCAGCTGTATGTTCTCTAAGTGCACGGTCTGTGTAGTGGCCATGGGAGGAGACAGTCTTTGATTTCTGTAACTGGCAGGCTTGTTCCCATGTGGTTGGGGTGCTGTTCAGATTGAGCTCTTACAGGGACTTTGTTTTTCCCAGGCTCAGCTGTGTCCCTTGAGCACAGACCAGCACAACCAAGGGCTAGGCAGAGTGGGGCCACACTGCAGTTCATAGAAAAAAAGGTGGTTTGCTTCCTGGTAGATGTAACCCAGATGAGAACTGGAAGACCAACAGTGGTGACTCCTGCTGAAGGAGTGATGCAACACATTAAATAGGGAAATCACTGCAAATCTAAAAATCTTTGCAATGAACTTTTTCAAGTATTTGAAGGCTGGATATTGAAGATCAGGCAGTTCAGGGTGTGGTGCAGGGATCTTTGATCACATGCTGGGGGTGTGGGGAAGGGGCGGGGGGGAGAGGAGTTACATATACCCTGGGTGTGACTTCTGTTTACCAACAGCTAAATAACTTACCGCATGGATTAGGAGAGCGCAGTCTTGTGCATTTCACAGCCTTGGTGCCAGCATTCTGGCACGTGGATCTGCCTGTAGGTTTTTGTGGTGGAAGCATTATGCTTCAGCTTCTCCACGTGTTTGTACAGCTACTCCTCCTTGTGCCTTTCAGATGTGTCCTGTCAGGGTCCCATTGCTCTGGCTGGTGCCTCCAAGGCTTTCTGCCACAATCACGCAGTTTGTTCTGCCTTTCAGCTCTGATTTATTCTTGTTTGGCCTTTGCAGTCTCCAGCAAATTGGATATGCATGAGCAAGGCAATTTGGTACAAGTGCAGCAAGTTTTGACTTTCAGCTGCCCACACACAGGACCAGACCATAGCACGGGAAGGCTCGAGTCCTGAGGTGGCTCTGGTGACATCACACTGAGATTGTATATAAATAATGTAGGGGAAATTAATTTAAATCAAAGGATTAAATAGCTACTCTTCAATAAGTTAGTTTGGGCCTATATTCGTAATTGTCAGTTATTTTTCTACTGCGCGACTGATTTTGACTGATAAAATTTGAAAGTACTTCTTGCTAAGAAAAAACACATCCTTTAGGTTCTTCACTGTCACAGAGAAGACAGATATTGCACCTTTTGTTTACTAGGAAAACAACTTGTGATTTAGGCCAAGGTGCAGCATCGATCAACATACAGCTTAATTAACTGCAGGGGCTTTCAGTAACTAATTAGGCATGCAAGAATAACATAAAGAAATATTACTTTATTTATGCATTGCATAAAAAGCTGATTTATTCACTGGGCAAGTGAAGCTATCACTTGGAATTAATTAATTAATGATTCAAATTGATCAGTCCTGTCACTATCCTCCAAGATCTTGGAGCTGGAGAGTCTCCTCACTCTGGAGGATCTTGATTCAGAGGTGCAAAAGGTGCACACTGCTTTCTTGCTTCTCAGCTCTTGGATAACTTTAAACTTCTTGCAGAATTAAACAAGTCTTCCAAAGCTGAAAGGGAATGTTGGAAGGGCAGGAGCAGCTACTGCTCCCTTCACAGCCCAGCTGGAAAGTGAACATGCAGTGCCTTTCCATGGTGGAGGGGAAAGGTGCTGGTTAAGTTGGTTTTTCAGGCAATTTGCCTTTCCCTGATCTCGGTTCCATATGCTGTTTAATGGCGTAAGAGTGAAATGATTTGCTTTCTTTAAACTGTTTGCTTCCTGTTGTTGCGACTGATGCACTGTGCCTGTGACAGATCTTTCAGGAGCCTAAGAAAGCCAACCAGGTGGAGCAGGTGCTGGTGGAATATGCCAAGTGCATAAAGGTAAGCTGAGCTGGCAGGCTGGTGGGAGTGTGGCATCCCAACTGGTGCGGCAGTGCTGCTAAAGAGGGCACTGCAGCTTTAACAAGGGAAGAGGGCTCTAGCTGAGGTGTGAGAGTGTTTCTGAAGCACAGAAATCTTCCCTACTCTGGTTTAAGTTGATGGTCCCTCTCTTGCAGCGCTGCAGCCAGGCAGGAGGACAGATGACAGGGGCTCTGCTGCTTTCTGTAGTTGGAGGCAAAATGAGTGAAGGGATCAACTTCTCGGATGACCTGGGAAGGTAAGGTGACTGTTCCTTCTTGAGAGGTGAGCTCTGGCTTGGGGTGACTCCAAGCAGGATGGTCACGTCAGTACTTGCATAGATAGAAAATATGGGGAGCATGTGACTTCAGCTGATGCTTAAAGCAACAGGAGGGTCTGCTGGGTGGTGTAAACCTGATTGTCCAGGCTACTTTTCCTGTGAATGACGCAGTTAGGCTTGCTGTGCTACATAATCCCTTGTTCTGGCACTCTGATCCCTCTGCAGCTCTGTTCAGAATGTGCTTGTCAGACTGCTGTGCTTTATTGCCACCTTTGTTTGTCAGGACTGGTTGTCTTTCAGGGCTGCAGTGACCTCTAAGTTATCAGTGTATTTGCATAGTGCTACAGGATGAGACATTAAGAATAATGCAGTCCCTTCCTTGCAGGTGTGTGATTATGGTGGGAATGCCCTACCCCAACATTAAATCTCCAGAGCTTCAGGAAAAAATGGCTTGGCTTGACAAAACAATGGTAAGAGAGACACACTTCTGCTTGTTTCACTTCTGCTTTTCTCTCAGCACAGGCATGCAAGAGATGCCTTTGAAGGCTTTGTTGTGTTTTCTCTGAGCTAGCCCTTGTTTCCCAGACTGTGTGGTACCGAGAGCACAGCCTTCTCCAGGCAGCTCCTGAACAGGTGGTGCCAAACACAGGGAAGAAGCTCACTGGAGGGAAATACCACCAGGGCTCACTGGGAACTTTGAGTTCCAAAGGCAGCAAGGACCCTTTACCCCAGAGGGGATGGCAGGGTGGTAGAATCTGCTTGCCAAGATCACTTTTCTTGGGTCATTTGTCCTTTCTTACTGCTCACTGGATGTGCTGTTTTCGGGCAGCTGGGGAGACTATTTCTGCCTTCAAGGGAGCCATGGGCTGGCTCTTTGTGAATGCTCAACATAGTTTTCTGACTGCAGCCTTTCTTCTGTCCCTCCTTGCTCTCAGCTTGGGGTCTGCCTTGCCACCTGCTCACTCTGCAGGGGTAAAAGCATTTGCCTCATGTTGTCATTCAGACTCCCTAGTTTGACTTTACATCTGCCTCATGTTCAGACCTGCCTATTTCTCCTTTCCAGCCCAGAGCTGCTGGCCAGGCACCTAGCAGAGTGCTGATTGAAAACCTGTGCATGAAGGCAGTAAACCAGTCGATAGGTAATTCATCCTTCCTTGGATAGGCTGGGGGATACGAAATGTGACTGCACTGAAGGAGCAGGGTGGGAAAAAGGAAGCATTACCCAGTACAGAAGCATTACCTAAGTACAGATAATGGGAACATGAGCTTCCTTGTCTGAGAACAAAACACCCGACTGGGCCATTTTTTGTTTTTATGCTCTGTACAGGCAGAGCCATTCGCCACCAGAAGGACTTTGCAAGCATCCTGCTCCTGGACCACAGGTACGCACGGCCTGCCATCTTTAACAAGCTGCCACAGTGGATCAGGGAGAGAACCCAGGTGAAACCTGCCTTTGGATCAGCATTTGCAGAATTAAGAAAGGTCAGAACTCCTATCTCATGTACTGCTCCCCCAACCGTTTCCCACTGTGCTCATCTGGACTTGTCTCAAGTCTTCGCTTTAGAGTAAAGCCAGGGCCAAACTGTCTGGTTTTGTGTGTTCCCAGTTCCATCGAGGGAAGTTGGATGCTTTGTGACATGGGCCAGAGAACAGACGGTATTCACCTCTGTGAGTTACACCTCTGAAAAATGGGTGAAGCAACACAAGTTTCTGGTTTTCTGTACATGGACTTTGTAAATCTCTGCCTTCTGCCTCCTTTGTGGATGTTTGCTGTTCAGTATCTGAGCACTACAACGGTGAGACAGCCTTCAGCACCATAACCAGGAGGGAAACTGGCTGTAGGTCTGAGGCAGGTGAAGGGAGTAGCAGCAGGCTTCTATTTGTTTACAGCTGTTAAGGTTTTATTTAAATTGATTAAATACTTTCAACCAAAACATTAAGTATGGGGAATATAATTATTTTAACTGAATACATCTGGTTTTTCCCATCAACCACCACATGTAGGAGGCCTGATGGCCATTAACAACATAGAGCTTTTCACAGGAATTATAAAGTAGCAGACCATGAGTTTGTGCCCTGTTGGAATAACACAGCTGGAGTGGTAAGACACAGGGTAGCTATGGGTAACATTTTTTATCTTCTTGCTTCAAGCAGGCAGTAGATTCAAGGAACGGTTCATTCTTTCCAGGGGAATAAAGATTTTGATCATGCTTAAGCACAGGGTTGCTCTGTTCTTTCTACTGCCTAAGTTTTTCAATTCAAGGTAACTTTTTTAGGTTAACCTTCCTGGGGTTCTTTCCAAGGTTATAGGTCAGTGTTGGAGGGCAGTAATAACAACAGGGACAGCTACATCATCCCACAGCCGTTCCCAGCTTGTTCTGTCATTCTGAGCTCCCAGGAGCTTCCTTTTCCTCTCTGCCAGTTTCAGCAGCTGGATGCTACCTCTCAAGGCTCCTCACAATCAAGAAAGTACTTACAATTATGACACAAGAGCTGTTACCTACTCCCTGTGTGTTAATTAGTCCCACAGGGAAAGAAACAGCTGCCTATGAGAAACTTCCATTGTGAGTCTCCTGCCCCTTCAGAGAGTACAAACCCTGCACAAGCTCTGCCTTCACCCCAGGCAAAGAGGGAGAGGGGGGGACACCTCCTTCTAGAAGCTGGTGGTGCTGGGCTGTAAGGCTGGTCTCTGCCAGACATGAGTGAACAGCTGGGCTTTCCCTTTCCACACCCTTGATTGATGACACTTCCCACTTTTACCAAAGTGAAGGCGGAAGGACCTGCTTCCTTCAACTTTATTGAAATTTTTCAGACAGCAGCAGATTGACACTAATGCTCAACTGACCCCATCTATGACTCCCAGTCATCCTCATCGTCCTCACCCACAGGCTGCTGTGGGGGTGGGAGGGGTGGTATTGAGTCCGACATGCGAGCAAAGGCACCAGCAGGACTGCCTGGAGCATCGGCATTCCCAGAGGCTCCTGGCCCTTTCCCTGAAATACCTGCAATGGAAGGAAAACCACCAGTAAGTGACACCCAGGGACACCACACAGACTCAGCAAAGGGAAGGGGGAAAGCCATGCTCCCAGCACCCAGGTAAGTAGAGCAGCCAACATGTTCAGTACTGCCACAGTCCTGTGCCAGGGGCTCGTTTAACTACAGCTCCACCTGCGCAAGTCCCTGCTGTTCTCTGCCCAGCACTGAGGCCTAAATGGACCTGGCCCTAAGTGCCCCTGGCAGGACAACTCAGGTGCCCCCATAGGTGAGGGGTCCAGGCAGCTTTCAGAGTGCATCCTCTGACTGAGACACACAACTTCCTCCAGTGCCTTCAGCTGGACTTGAGGTGGAGATTCCTCTGCTCACCCTCTCTAAAGACACTCCCAGCCCCACTTGCCAGGGAAGGTCTCTCTGTTCCTGTTTCTAGAGCTGTGGCTGACACAACTGAGGTGCCAGGAACTGCTCTCCCTCTTTCCTAGGGGGAAGGAGCAGCCCAGCCTGCAGGACAGTACCTTTGCGCCTCAGCACCAGTTTGTTGAAGAGGTCTGACATCAAATCTCCACCTTGTCCTGTAGCTCTCACTGAAACAGGAGAACAAGTCAGTGAAGAAACACTAGCCTGAACCAAGCCCTATGGCAAAAGCATTCCCCTGCAATACTGTCTTCAGATTAAAGAAAAGATCCCAAACCTCTATTCTTGTATCACACCCCAAAACTATAGCCCAGTTCCAGGTCAGGAAAGCAGTAGACACAGCAGCATAATGGCATCTTCTGGGGAAATCCAAGAGTGGAATTCCTAGAGGGGCTGTGCATTTGCAGTCTCATTCTGCCAAACCAGCTCCATCACTCCCCTCCCCAGCTACCTCAGCCCAGGTGCTCAGACTGGTTCAGCCTTGCCCCTCTTGGCCCTGGGGTTTCACTTGTGTGCCTGCTCCCATGCAACACATGGGAAACTTCTACATGGGCCCTGAGACAGAGCGTGTCTCCATGAAGAACAGATGGGGTTCAGCGAGTTCACATAGTGGGAAACACCTGAGACCTACACAGGCCTGTGAGGAGAGAGAACCCCTTTCTGCTCTGTGAGTTCACTGTGCTCCTGACTTGCCTGCCTGCCCCCAGACCCACACCTCCCCAGCCTGGGGCAGAGAGCAAGGAAGTGCAGTTCTGCTGAAGGGCCTCAGCACCTTGTTCCTGTTCCTTCTGTTTCTTTTTCTCCAGCTTCCTCTCCTTGACACTGCGGAGGTTGGCCTTCCCAATGCCACCGGCCTGGCGGATGGACTCCAGGAGACTGGCACGCCCAGTAGAGGGGTTCACCACCTCCTTTGGGGCTCCCTGGACAGAAGCTGCAGGGACAGGAAGGACAGGCAGCACACACGGGTCAGTGCATCAGCTACAGGTCCAGCCAAATTCCAATGGAAAGGGTTACTCCAGTACCCTGCCAGCCTCCCCACTCTAGTGTAAGGCTGGGAAGGCACAGGAAACCACCCAAGAACACAGGCTGAAGCCAGGGAGTCAGAGTCAGACTGGGCTGGTAAAGCTGTGGAGATGCCCAGCCCTTACCTGCAGGCACTGTGTTGCTGCTCTCCTCACTCACTGTCCGTGCCGGCTCCGAGGGGGCCGTGGGCTGGGGCAGGGGCGGCGGCGGAGGCACAGTGGTTGGCACAACAGGAGGCGGTGGTGGGGGCGGAGGGGGAGGAGGTGGCAATAGTTCAGCATCTTGAAGATCTGAAAGATGAAAGAAGTTGTATCTGAAGGATCTGATGGCACACTGAGAGCTTCAGCTCAGATCTTCACGTGCCACAGCAGCAACGATCAGAGCCCTCAGCACACGCCATGCAGCGGAGCACTCCCACCTGTGCACCATCTCTGACCAGCAGGCAGGGCCAAGGGGGAGTCTGAGATTCCCCTACTGCCTTCCCCAGCTGCATCCTGCTCACCAAGGGCATCCCACCAGGCTGACATGGGGCCAGTCCCTGCACACTGTGCTCCCTCCTCCCAAGCCATGCAGAAGGTGAGGGAGGTAAGGGGCCTCAAGTCCACATCTGAACCAGTGGCAGCTTTCACTCAGGCCTAAGCACAAGCCAAAGGTATCTCCAACATCCAGCTTAAAATCTCTACCAAGGGACTTTCTGCTTCATCTCCATCTTCTAGCAATCCCTACCTTCCTCCTTCACAGGGTCCTGGGATCAGGGATTGGAAATACCTGGTTGCAAAGGCTCCGCCAACTCAGTGTTGAAGGTGGGCAGCTCTGGAATAGCACTGCTGGGGGCAGACGGTGCGATGCCGGGGCCCAGGTCAGCGCTGTACATGAGATCAGCAGCGATGCCAGGCAGGTCTGGCAGGTAGGATGGCACATCAATCTCAGGGACCTGGCCCAGATCTGGCACGTAGAAGTAATTTTCAGCTACCTAAAAGAAACCCAGACCAGCAAGATAAGGCAGTGGCTATGCACTTCCAGAAAACAGGGGCACTGCAGGGAACACTCTGGGTGGCAGTCAGAGCTTAACTCGTGTACCTTGGTACAGTGGCCACTCATCAGCTACCCCTGCAACTCTGTGCTCGGAGGCTACCTCCTGCAGACCAGACCTGGAAAAGGCAGGCTGCAGGAGGACGAAGTGAGGGACTCTTCCTAATTTCCTGCCAGTGGACTCTCCTCTTCTCTGACGGTTTCATGCACAAATATTGCAGCCAACATAAGTCAGTCCCTTCTCCTCCAGAAGAGGATGATGCCTGAACTATTTGAGATTAGGATGCAGGGGAGAAGCCCACCCAAGTGGTTAGATGGGCTTGGTCTTGTGTTTAACACAGGGAGAACAGCAGCAAGGTGCACTGTGAATATAGGATTTATTCACTATATACACTATCTCCTCCAGTCCAACATGAGGAGCAAATGGCTCCTGGGCTCCTTTTCCCTGTTCCAAACCACACATTCAAGCACACACCAGCAAAGCTGGTATGTCCCAGGTATGGCCTCAACAAAGTGCCTGGTAAAAGATCAGCCACATGTTTGAACGACTGGGTGGGTGTCTGCACTGAGCACAAGCCCTTTGCTCAGTCTGGCTGGCCCTTCTGTTTGCATCAGCAGGCACCCCTTCCCAGCAGGAATGAGAGGGATCAGACCTCCCATCAGGGACCTTCTAGCAGTGGCACCTCACCAGCTTGAGCATAGAGCAAAATGCCTGCCAAGTCTGAGAGTTTTGTCTCACATCAAACATAGCAGGACCTCAAGCACAAAACCAAGCAAGGTCCTCCTGGTAAGTGAGGTACTCTGAGCCCCATTCTTCTACCTGCCCTCCACCCTACAGAAGCCCTCTCTTCTCAGAGAGCTGAGCACAACCCTATGAAGTGGAAGCAGCTGCATCTTACCTGTCGGTCCAGCTGTCCCCTTTTGGTGATGGAGAGAGGAGCATCAAAGAGCTTCTCTTCTGTCTCTGTTTCCAGAGCCACATGGGTCTTGGTCACTGCTCCAGCCAGAGGATCCAGGAAAACATACTTCTTGTACCTAAGAGTAAAGGACATATATTTTAGTGTTCCTACCTTGAGAGCCAAGGCCAGAAGAAAGTGTACCCAAGAAGGCCTTGGAGGTGGAGACCTCCTGACTTCATTCAAAAAGGTTGGGCCTTCCAGTTTCCTTCTTTTAGCCACATTTTCCAGCCTTTCCCCTCCACAACCAGGAAGTGATCAGCTATCCACCCTGCCCGTGCAGCCTCCACATTCACCCTAAAGCAAACCCCACTGCAGTGCCACCATTACCAAGCTCTCCCCTTTCCACCACCCAGCCTGAACCATCCCACAGCCTGCAGCAGGACACCAGTGACTTGTCACTCAAGGTCCAGGAGGAAAGGCAAAAAGGGAAAATGATACATGACTCAGGAGAAGAAAGAGAAGGTCCAGCAGCTGAAATATCTAAAAGGGCTTAAATAAACTCTTCAATATGGGCAGAAGGAGGAACCACAAGGCAAAGCTCAGTAATGGGAAAGGGAACCGCAGTGAGGGAGGTGGTGGAGACACTGAAACAGTGAGGGCAGCCAAGTGATGCTGCAAGGAATCACTGGGAGAAGAAGCAGTACCTAGGCTGGCACATGGGGCAGAGAAGGATAGGAGTGATGGCACATCTCAAGGCTGGAGAGAAATTACAGGGGAACAAAAGGAAAAACTAAGCTGGGTACAGGAAGTGCAAAAGTGGGTTGAATGCAGATGAGTAGAGGATCAGGTTCAGATAAAACAACTCCTTCCACCCAAGGGAAAGAATGGGGAAGAAAGGGTTCCTAGCTAGAAGCCAGATGTAGCAAACTCTGTCCTATCAGGAGCCTGATATGTAACACCCCCAAGGAAAGCAAGCAGTTCTGCTACCCCTGGGGAAGGGAAAGCTCCTGAGGACAAGCAGGGGCAGGTGAGCAGCACAGCACTGCTCCAGCTCTCACAGGTTCTCGGTGGTATTGAAGAGTAGCAGGGAGCTGAGGGAGCTGATGTTCCTGGGAAGGCTGCCAAGGCCTTCTTCTGCATCATCCTCCTGGTGAATTTTGGTGCTCATGCACACGGGGAAATACTTGAGCTTTTCCTGCAAGAAAACAGATAACAGGTGGTGAGACACTAAAACCATGGCCGCTGAGGTGGCTGTCCCCAGCCACCACAACCCACGTTGCTGGCTGCACTGTACAGTCTGGGAACCCTACTGCTTCCTCTCTATCTCCCTTTGAGCAAGGAAGCACAGGGACAACATTGCAACCCCACACTCATCACAAATCTCAGCAGTTTAAACTCAGGCACTTGCTTTTGGTGCCATGAGTGGATCATATCAAACGTGTTGCTGTGGCAAGGATCCACCAAGGTAAAGCCATCACTCAGGCTCTACAGTCAGAGGCAGGGATCAATTGGAACAACAGTCTAAAATGTGTTTGTTACAGTGTCTCCAACTGCTACACATTTTCATGCAGGCACAGTCCCCCCAAACATCTCTATCACCTCCCCTCTGCTGCCTTCAGTTGATGTTTTAAGAACTGTGATCCCACTGTTGAGGTATGCAGGGAAGGCAAAAAGATTGGGAAAAAACAGAGTGCTTGCACTAGGCAAGAGATCAAGAAGAAGAGAGTACGCAGGGTGGAACGTGTGCCAGATGGTTTTGCAAAGCCTGAGGGATTTGCAGGAGTTTTCAACTCTAATGAACTGAAATCTCCTCTCTCTCAGTTCTAAAACTTCATGCATAATATATATATAGAACTCCTTTTAGAAAAGGACTTATTACATCTGAACTGCCTGACTTTTATAGAGCACAGGAATTGCCATCCCACACCAGACCAGTGTTTCAGCTGGCGTGACAGTGCCCACTGCCACATGCTCCGGGGAATGAAGCTCAGCGCCCACAGCACTCTTTGCTCTAGTGGGAGGAAAGGCATCAGTTCCTGAACCCAGAGACAGCTGGGGATGGAAAAAACCACCACCCCAGACCCCTTCACACACCTCAGCCCCTTTACAACTCCTGCTTTCTTCACAAACTAGGACAAGCAGCAGCCACAAGACGCAAGTGTTCATACCAGGACAAACCAGAGCAGTTTGTCAGGTTAAATAACTGGCCACATTTGTGGTTTCCTTTTGTCACCAGAAGATGACCACTTCAAACAGTGCCCACAGCTTCCTACAGCCTCACTACTTCCAGCATCCCTGCACCATCCCATTCTCTGTATCATCCCACCTTGTATTTGTACGGGGGAAATGGAGACCACCATTGGTTCAACTTTAAGGCCACAACATTAAGTGACACAAGCGGTTCCTCCCAATTGAAATTTCAGTCTGGTAGCCAGAAATCCTAGGAAATGGCTTAGTCACAGCTCAGCTAATCCACTAAGAGTTTCTATGATACGCTATATAAATACGTCTATAAAATGCTATAAGAAAAGACCTGGGAGGTTTTGATTGAATTCACGTTCCAACTTGAGAAAAATGTACTGAAATGAACATCTTGTATTTTTTTACAGAAGCAAGTAGGCAAAAATATATAAATTGTTATTTAGAGACTGCAGAAGCAGAGGTTCAAAAATAAAAGTTCTTTTGATCATTAATATTCATTTCCCAATGTTTAATTTTTTAAGCATGAGGGAGTACTGACTTTTTTGCTAGAACTGTTCAGACACACTTAGCCCTAAAGTCATATATATATTTTTGTAATTCTCTCTTTGTAGATTTCAGTTAGCACTGGAAAACTGTGTATCACTTTAAGGGCATAGTGAGAAACCAACCATTACCTACATTTACTTATAAGCCTCATCTAAGGCAGTTATAAAAGCACTAAGCATGAGTATTACTCTGAAACTTTTAATTTACATGCCATTGAAGTGCTAGTTTTATTCGAGTACCTAGATCTGTTTTGAAATTTGGAACAGCTACCTACTGTCAATAACATCCTGCAACTGTAAATTCCAGAAGTTAACATGCCATTTAAAAAGTAGTTTTCTTATAGGAAAATTAAGGCCTTAGGCCAAAGTTCAGCAGCCTCGACATACTGAAGTCTTGGGGGATGCTTGAATGCTCAAACACCCCAGCCTGGGGTTTGGCACTTGGCAGGATCACACCCCCAAGGACACTGCATTTTCAGGCATTTTTCTTCCTAAGAACCTACAGTTGAAAATATATAAAGTCATCCTGGTTCTGAAGTTTAATTAAGCACACACTATTACAAAGGGAATTGGTGTGATACCCCACAAATCCCACTCCCCCATACCAAGGGAATGCTTAGGCTATCTGGAAAAGCACTTCAAGATAAGCAAGTGGCAAAAAGCTGGTTTAGCTTCCCCATGCCTATAGTGGGCTCTGAGAGAGGCAGGATTCCCAAGAACATGCCAAGTTACTGACATTTTTGAAGCCTAGCAAGGTTACCCCAGCAGAAGTGTCACTTTTGCTTGCACCTTCTCCAAAGCCCAGGCAGACCATGTCTCCCACCCCATTTTTCAGTCTCTTGAGGGGCACATGCAGCACCCAGACACAGCTCCCACCGCAAAGGCAGGGCACAGAGCCTGGGAAGCTCCACAGGGCTGCAGACAGCTCCCTGCTGAGCCCTGCCCCAGCTGCTACCACACAGGACTGTGTTTCTGGCACTCTTAGCCAGCAGCGCTTACCTTACCAACCTAAACGGTGTCCACTCAATGACTGAGTTTTCACTCAGAAGGGGGAAAGAAGAAATTCCAAGGGGGGAACCATTTTCAAATAAACTGTAGAACCCCACAGATTTCCAACACAGCTGCTTACCCCCCCCGAACAAATCCTAAATGCTGCCACCACTTATCCTCAAACCAATACGAGCAGAGTTTGCTCTCCTGGTGGGGTATGTGTGAGTGGAGTTACCAACTGCTCCCAGCAAAGAGGCCCTCATTAGAAGTGAAAACAGGCAGTGAGCCTCTGCTGAAAGCCCTAAATAATTGAGGAGGGCATAAATGCAAACATTAGACTTCTCCCTACCACATTTCATTACTGCAAGGCACTTCAGGCTCCGTGCTTATCTCTGGCCGAGACAGGTCTGTCCTACTGGAGCATGGTCAGAGCTCAGTCGCACCAAGCACCACTCAACACACCAGCTGCTCTCGGGGCAGGGCCCTCCATCATCCACCACCTGAAAGCAGCATCCCCTCATCCCACAGAGGACATGCAGGAGCTCAGGTGTGTGAGCCTGACAAGAGTGACAAGGCTGCTGTATGAGGCAGGGTCAGCAAAGCCAGAAAAAGATCAACAGCCCCAAAGGAGGATCAAAAGATGGGTGATGGGAGGGGAACAACAAACACAGACATCCCCCAGTCCCTGTGGGGATGCAGCCTTAATCACAAAGGGCAGAACATGGCAATGCTACGGAGACTACCTGGGACCTGGAAGAGGTGGCATTGCAGGCAGATGGCTCTGGGGAAAGGCTCATGGAGCCTACTGGAGCCAGCAGGCCAGCTGAACGGGCGCACCATTGGCTCTTTGCAGGACACTGCTTTCTACCAGCTGAAGCTCTTCTCAATTCCCCTCCCGTGTGAGGGGCTGTACACTGGCACCAGCCCTTCAGGGTGGGGGCACATCTCCCTGTCCACTCACTGCTCACTGCCTACCTCGGCTCCCCCACGCTCTGATGGGATGGGGCCACCAGCCAGACAGCACCACTAACTGGCCTCCCAAAGGCTGGCAGCGGGTCCCATACAGCTCTGCCCTGCCCTGCTGCCAGGACCTGAAGGAAGCAGGGACCCTACTCGAGGTGGCCAGCTGTCCATTCAGCCAGCAGCCCTGCTTCCTTGGCCTGGCTGAAATATTCATAACTACCTCACTGCGTGAGGCCTCAACTCCATTAACACTCAGGAAAGTTTAGCATGATAAATTATTCAGTGATAGCTTTATTTTGGGCCAAGTCACACATGGATGAGGAAGGAAGTCTCTTTAGGGGTGGAAAGCAGGGAAGTTGTCAAGCTGATCCCTAACCTGCCTGGAATAGCACATTTGCTACTCCTGACACAGCATATACACATCAACTTTTAAACTTCAAGCACATCAACTTTTCCTCCTCTCCTTCCAACCCAGGAATGTTGACTCAAATTGTTGAAGAATCCTTTGGTAGCACTTCCTGCCAAATATCTTGCTTCTCAGACCTCCCTAAGACCTCCCCTGTCTGCCATTCAATCCACAAGTTAAAAAGGAACTCAGAAGTTCAGAACCTCCTTTAACGCCACCAGCTGCAGGGATCTGTGCTATGGGCACACCTGGAAGCCCCAGCTGTGCTGGGTACTGAGAGATTCAGCCCCTCTGAAGGGCTTGAAACCTACAATAGATGAGCATAAGGCAAAGGAAGAGCAAAGCACAAACTAAAGAAGCAGCAAAATTATATTCTCTCCTCCCCAAGATGTACAACTTTGCTGGGAACAATATAATGCGCAAGGGACAATACCCAAGTGCAACAGTTTCCTGGGGCAGAAAAATGCTCCAGTGAAGGACTTCTTTTTCTCCTGACACACTCACAATCTTTCTTAGCTTTCCCCTCTCACCATCACTTACATCAGAGCCTTCAGAAACTATTTTCCAAACAATTATGACCCTGATCTCAGATATACACAGTCAAAGGATTAAGCCCAGGCAGCAGCACCCACCAACACTGCTGCAGAAAAGAGCATTTCAGGAAATGGAACTGCTCCAGAGAGCTGGCAGCTGACAGCCACCCAGAACACTCAAACACCCAGACAAGGTCTTGTACTGACACAGTCCCCTCAAATTGGCATCCCCACAAGCTTCCCAGCCTGACCCCACACCCCTCCACAGACAGACCAAATGAAAATATGTTCTCGTCCCAGCCCATAGCCTTGGTCCACTCTGTCAAAGAGACTAACAGCCTCCCATCTTCTTTTTGCTTGTTCACGCCCAGGTCTGTTCTCCCCCTCCTTACCTGCAGAGCCTTCTCATCCAGCATTCGATGTTTGCTCTGAATCTTGTGTCTTGGCCCTTTCTGTTTAGCTGGGTCTTCTGCACCAGCAAAAATTGAGCTGTACTCCTGCAGCCGTTCAGGGGCTGGGTACTTGGCACTGGAAAATACCTGTGGAGAAACAAGGAGGGACTGAAACATCCCAAGAGCTGGGAAATTCTACAGCACAGAAACACATGGAGTGGAGTGAGCACCCCATCTGTGCTGCCAATGGGAATGGACAGCCTTGGAGATAGCAGGCTCCTAAGGGTTATGTGCATGGACTGCCACTTCCGAAACTGGAAGAGTCAGAACCTCTCTATAAAAGTACAAGGAGATCATTGGCAAAATGCTTCCACTGGCACGAAAGGAGTTGAAACTATAGTATAAAATGGAGCAAGAGTGGTGAAAGGAGGATTTTTACCAGTTTTACATGGCTCAATGGGATTTAGATGCACTAAGGGAAGGCTCTCTAAAAGCAGCTTTCATTCAAACAGCCAAAGTGTTTATGAGTCTGAAGTGTAAGGGTTGTTGAGCTTACTCAGCATGGGCCTTTCATCTTTCTCAGGAAGCAGCTGGGCCAGAAACCTATAAAGGCCCCTATTAAAACCTGGGGCTGTGTGGCTCAAGGGTCTAAAATTCATCAGCTGGCCAAGTCAGGAATGGGATTCTCATCACAACTTTGCTCAGCAGCAAGGCATGGTGTGGCAGCTGAGCACCCTTTCTTCACCAGAGCTTACGTCAGGAGTACAGAGAGAAGGTGGAATGAAGAAAGGAGGCAGTGCAGCCTTCACTGAAGTCAATACCTTAATAGCCTTCTTGCTGCCCTTTATCTTCTCAATCTTCGCTTGGGCGAGTGTGACTCTCTCACCAATTGCCTGAAGCTGTGCCCGGCTGGCCTCCACCCGCTGAGAGATCCTAGGAGGCAAGCACATTTCCTAGGATGAAGAATCTAGAACCAGCAATTTTTTTGGCAACAGCCAGTGCCCAGACCCTCAAAGAAGAATGCAAGTCTCGGTGGACTGTGTTGTTTCAGAGGGCAAAAGAGTGCTGGATGAGACACGCTCATCTCCCTCCCATTGAGAGCTTTATGTACTCTGACATGATACAAAGTAGGACTAGTCCGTGACTCACAGCACAATGTTCCTGAGGCTGTTTAAGGCACAGAAAGATGGCAACTTTTTTGCCAACACCAGAGGGCCACAAGCCTCTCTGCAGGTACTGCTGACAAGAAGCCACAGCCAGTTATCAACTGCCAACATATTTTTAATAAAATGACTTGTCACAAATGAAAGGCAACACATGTTAATGAGCAGAGTTCAGGACTCACATGGCTTATACTGTCCTCTCCTGTACCAGCAGTTTGTTACACAATTTTGTCCATGCTGCTTAGCAGTTTTGTGATTTGGTTTCCACATCAGTTAAACAAGACTAGGTCCTCATTTCAAGAAATCAAGCACAATAATGTGTATCATTTTTGCATGACTAGATGTGCTGGTTTTGGCTGGACTAGAGTTAATTTTCTTCATAGTAGCTGGTATGGGGCTCTGTTTTAGATTTGTGCTGGAAACAGTGTTGATAACTCAGGGATGTTTTGGTTATTGCTGAGCAGGGCTTGCACAGAGCGAAGGCCTTTCCTGCCTCTCACCCCACTCCACCAGCGAGTGGGCTGGGGGTGCACAAGGACTTGGGAGGGGACACAGCTGGGACAGCTGGTCCTAACTGACCCATGGGATATTCCATTCCATATGGATTCATGCTCAGCATATAGACTAGGGGGAAAGTTGGCTGGGAGCCACTGCTCAGGGCCTGCCTGGGCTTCAGTCAGTTGGTGGTGAGCAATTATTTTTCATTCGCATCACTTGTCTTTCTTGGGTTTTATTTCTCTTCCTTGTTTTTTTCCTTCTCATTACAGTATTATTATTATCATCATCATCATATTTTATTTCCATTATTAAACTGTTCTTATCCAACCCATGAATTTTCTCACTTTTACCCCTCCAGTTCTCCATTCCCCCAGCCTGCTTGGGGCAGGGTGAGCAAGGGGCTGTGTGGTGCTTTGTTGCAGGCTGGGGATACACCATGGCACTAGATCAGCATCAAAATGCTTTGGGACTGAGGTGGAAAGCACTCTGTGGCAACAAAGGAGAGTAGACACTGGTTAAGTAGCTCTGTGTTCACCTCGTGGACAGAAAGGTTTGTTCCTTTCCCACGAAGCCTACAGCTGACACCTTGCAGCCAGGGGCACAGCCAAACCTGCCTGCATGTCACGCACAGTGGCTGCCATGCTGCAGGAACTGTCACACAGGTTTAACCAGAGGTTAGGAGGGACACTGGGAGCAGACAGCAGCTACGGGAAACTACAGAGTCACCCTCTCAGAAGAGACCTTCCTTCCTCATGCATGACCAGCAGGTTCTCCCTAGCTTCAAGCTCAAGAGCTGAAAAGTGTTCTGAACCTTCACCCCTCCAGTGAAACCAGCAAAGAGTATTTTTATGGCTATACAACCCATTAGGAGAGAGAGCACTCCACTTCAGCAGTGTTTTGTAGCAATGAGTTCCATCAGATCATTCTGTGCCTGTAAAAATCAATCTCAAGTACTGTCTTTCAATTTCCCAAAAAGTCTCTCTTTGCTTTTGCGAGAGCTCTCACACTTCTTTTTCTGCTCTGTCTAATTCCCTTCAGCAACAAATTTGACATCAGCAGCGATCCACGATTCCTAATTTCAAACTGTACCAAACCCATCTTTTTAAGTATTTTCACCCTGTGCAGCACATTCCCTATTACAGCACAGAAATGGACTCCCTAAAGCCCCCCACAACGTAGGTAGTGAAAAACAGCCAATACAAGCCTGTTTCACCTTGCGTCTTTCTGAAAGAATCCCACTTCCTTCACTAAACAGCTTTTAAGTATTTGTTTGTTTACAGCCATGCTCCCATTTCTGGAAGCATGAAAAACCTTCCTCATGCATATGGCAGGATAGCACACAGCCTATTTCCACTTTATTCTGTTTGGAGTAGGAGATGAGCAAAATTGAACCTCATGAGATTCTCTCTCTCAGAATTATTCTCCATCCTTTTATTTTAAACACAGTCTAACAGCTTGTATTTTGTACCAACACTGAGTACAAATCTGTTCGTGATTTCCTTCCCACACCCTCCCTCTGCCTCAGAGGAGTAAGTCCACATCACTTATACACTTGATAGGTTCTCAGAGTAGTTTCTGTTGTTCCTTTCAGTGCGCATTTCCTAGCACCTGTCTGCAGCAAGTTTCATGTGTCACAGGGCTGTCCCATTGCCTTGTGTTGTTCAAGTGTGAGATGCCTCTGAAGGACCTGTCTTCCCTAACTGCACTCCCCAGAACATTTTCCCACCTCACAGTTCACCTCTTTTCTAAAAGTTTCATAATTGTATTGATTGACACTGTTTCCAGTACTGCTCCTGGGGGTATTTGACTATTTTTACTTCCTTCAAAACTGAAAAAAACCCCAGTCATTTATTTCTGCTTTGCTGCTCTCCCTCAAATCAATGAGGCAATTTTCTCTCTAACCTGTGAGTAGACCTCTCTCCTAGAAGAACTCAACAAAGCTTTCCTGAAGCTCCACATAAAAGCAAGGTATCAACTGCCTTTTAGCCAATACCCTGCTGACTCCCAGACACAGTTTTCAGGACCTGACAGGGCACATGTTTCTCTTCCAGAAGGAAGTGTTAAGTAGTTATGCAAGCTCAGACCTAGAAACCAGTAAGTGTTCTCCTCCCTTCCAGTCCACGGATGTGAGTGGGTCAAATGACGCAGTGAAATGCTTCCCTTGCTCCCTTTCCTGCCCCACATTAACCCCAGTGCTTCACCAGGTATCAACCTCTTCCTCTCCCCCTTGCCTCACTCCGTGTTTTCCTAGCTGTGAAGAAGCAAAGGAATTTTTGAGGAATCCAGTTACACCTACCTTTCACTCTTAACCCCCTCCCACATTTAACTCTTACCCTCTAAAACACCCGTGTAGGAGAGGAATGGTGCCACAACTCCCTTTACAGCCCCACCAAACACAGCAGGCTATTCCAAAGGGCTTCTCAGTGCCAGACTCCTCATCCCTCCTGCAGCACAGACAGCACCGTGGGAATAACAGAGAGAGAAGCACCTCTCAGTCCACCATGTTGCACACACCTTTCTCATTTAAAATTTGCTGGAACCTCTCTTAAAAAGGAAGCGGCCCTAAAACCTGGACATGACTGGCAATTACTGCGTCCTAGCTACCACAATAATGGTGCATTCATAAGGAAAAAGGGAAGACATCCAGAGTTTCATCCATCCCTACTGCCCACCAAATATAAATGGCAGTATCAGGCAGACAGCCCAACTCCCCAGCATAGGCTGGGGAAGTTGTCCAGTGGCAGCTCAGGTGTTTCAAACCATGACAGCTCTTCCCCAAAGCACTCTGTACTTTCTCCTGTGATCTGCTACTCCAGGATTTGACAGGCCAAATCCCACTGACCTTAGGAGTTCTGCCACAAAACTTCACCTGAGGTGGTACAGATGCAGGCCCACAGCACAGAAGGAATACACATCAGTCTACAGAATTAATTTATTTGTTCCTGAACAAGATAACTTTGAAAACAAATATTAAACCTCCTCAATCCAACTAATCCAAATTCCATTACATGTACAGCCTCCTAGAAGTGCATGACTGTTATGCACAGTTACGTACAGTTCAAGATACAGCTGCATGTGTTAGTTCAAAGAGAAAACATACCATATTGATACTGAAAAAATTTACCGCGAAAAAACCCTCATGTTCAGTATTTCTACTGCCGTGGAAACTGAACTTAATCTAAGGAGTCAACCAGTGTTTGTAAAGAAAGGAAACAGAAAGGGAAGAAGGGATGTTGCCAAGGATTTCAGGAGCAAAGTGCTTGGAGCAAGGTGGCATTTGGAGCTCGTCACTGAGTGGTGTTTGTTTGAATGGCAATTGCAATCAGGACAGCAGGGGTAAGTGTTAATAAAATACCCATTGCTGCCCCTCAGAACCCTTTGTTCAGACAGCCAAAGCCACCTTCAGTGTCTGAGCCTATCCCATGCCTAAGTTATTAGTCACTGCTGTGTTATTTTGCTCTCAGTGCTCTCTTCTGCTTGAGAAACGCCTTTAGTTTGATTCAATGTGACTTTGGAGTTGCAAAGAAGCAGGAGGCTACAGCAACAGCCCCTCCCTTTCATCAGAATGTGCTCCATTTGGGACAAGTGAACAGAGAGCCTTTGGAAAAGGAATATATCACCTACATTGAAATCCCGGGCATGGAGCCAAACCAACCTTCCCCTCCCAATGCTTTTCTTTGGGGAAGTAATACATGTGGTAGATTAAATCTATCTAGTGGATTATCTCTTAATCCATACAGAGTTTTATTTTTGATCTAAGCAGATATTAAAGCCAATCTTTCAGCTGCTTTAATTCAAGCTTTCACTTTCTCTTGTACCTCTGAAATCTTTTTGCCCTCAAGCCTCTGTGTCTCATGGCCAACTTAGATCTTGTTTCTCCATTCTCCTAAGGCCCTCATCCTGCTGCCTTAAACGCCTCTCCATTTTACAGGCACCTCTCTCCAACACCACAGCAAGATCCAGGAATATTTCCTCCCAGATCACTGCCCCTGTCCTCTGTCCCACCTGCAGCTACAGAGCAGATCACTTCCTCTTGTTTCCTTATAACTCCTCTGATAAATCCCACATTCAAGCAGCTACTGAAAGACCTCCTCTGCTGCGTCTGTGTCTACTTGTGGGGTAAAAACTACTGTTCTCTTGCTCCCATAGGAAAAAGATTTGAAGCATTAGGAATCTGGCATCCAGGACAATGGATACGGTCTGACAGTCATCAGCATTGGCAATAATGCTACATTTCTATGCATGTCTCCAAGCACTCCACAGTGCCAACAA